CAACCTTCCCAGACCTGCCCTGGCTGTGCATGGGGCAGGGCCCGGCCAATGCCAGTGTGACCTCACCAGAAAACCAGATGTGTGGGTGCAGGCAGATTTACGAGGTATACAATCCTTCCTGGGTAGAGCCTTGGAACGTTAGAACCCAGAACTCTGGACAGACTGCAGGCACTAACCACCTTATGCACGTTCTGGGGAAATTATATTCTGCCTGTGGGAGGTCACTCTTGGGAACAAGAGGTCCTCAGAGGGCACATCCTCAGGCAGGAACCGGCCCAGGTGAGAACAGACAGCACTGGACGCTGTGGGCCATGTGGACCAAACCCAGACCTCAAAGGCAGGGGAACCAGGAACACGAACAGAGAGCAGGGTGGTGTTGGGATGCCGCCAGTCCTGGGCTGCAGCGTCCAATGGGTCTGCCTGCTCACCCCGGGGACAAAGCCAGGGTGACCATGCCTCTCCGGGTCATTGCTTGCTGGATCTCCTGAGACCCTGTGAGGTGGGCAGTTGTGTGCCCAGGGGGAGATGGAGAGAAAGTTCCAGCTCTAAGCCAACCTCACCCAGAAACTCCTCACCCACCGTCACGCGTCAGATGGCTCAGAGACAGGCTCACGGTGACCCATGGGTGCACACCTCACGGTGGCACAGAACGCTGGGCCATGACACCATCACTGGCTCCCACCCAAGGCACACCCCAGGTGGCCACTGTCACCAGACGGCTTCCAGCCAGAGAGATCCAGGCATCGAATTCCCTACCTGCATTCCTACGCCGCCAGGTTTGCCCTGGGAGGGTATGTGTGTGCCGGGCCCAGGTGGCCGGAGACAACACACCTGTCGAGTCCAGACCGGCTTCCCCAGCGTGAGGCTGTTACAGGAATCTCACTGGAGGTTCCATCACCCACAGGGAAGCGGTGGCAGGGGAGCAGACGCTCAGGGAGTCGGAAACCTCCCGCCACAAGATGCAAGAGCGCTGGGGGTGCTGGCCTGGGCCTCTGGGACTTGGGACACGTGGGACTGGCAGCACAAAGTCAGAAGTTAAGGTCTGTGTGGAAATAAGCCACAGGTCACAGCGGGAAGACCTTCCCAAGGGGCCCCTGGGGAAGGAAGGGAAGGGGAGGCAGAGGCAGGGGAATCTGCTGACACAAATAGACCCGCTAGCGGGGGGACACACACCAGCCCCTCCATTGGGCATCCAGGGGACACGAAGCTGGTTCCCAGAGTCCGGTGTTGAAGGAGGCACTGTGAGTGGTGCACGATTTGGGGGAGGACCTGTTATGGAAATCCCGCTGGCATAACTGGTGACCCCTGGATATGCGGCCTCCTTTGGGAAGAATGGACCCCAATGTCCCACCTCCTGGGGTTGCTGTGGGTTCGAGGACATGGCTCATCTAGCCACAACAACTACCCTCTCGACATGCCGGAACTGGACTGCATACCGAGAGCAGGCATCGAGGAAGCTAGCCCTGTCTCGCTGCCTCTGTTTTCAGAATGACCCCACAGATGTTATCAGGCGTTATACAAATACCTCAGCCACGCACGTTCAGACACAACATTTTCAAAGGACGTCTGAGTCTCGTGGCCGAGCTGTGGCAGTAACCTTGGGGACACTTTATGAGTTGGTCATTCAAAATCATGAGAGCCCCCCTCCTAATGTAGCTTGCTTTCCAAATGACAAGGTCCTGCTTGGACGGGGCAAAGCCCACTCATGCTTTCATCCCAAAAATACTTGCCGAGCATGTGCCGGGGGCTGGAGGTAGTCTGGGGCTGGGCACAGACGATGTGCCCTGTCCTCAAAAGCTGACATTCTGGGGGAAGACGGCAAGTAAGCAGCCCACACAAAAACCGATAGGCAGCACCAAGTTAGAATGTGTGCCCCTAATAGGGACCGAAATTCATCCAATCCCCTTCTGGGCAGCTGGGCAAGGGGCTCCAGAGCACTCCAGAGGAACGTCACACTCCCCTTCTCAGGACAAGCCCAAAGCTTAGGAGAAAACAGGGAGAGATGCTGGGGGGCGAGGGATGAGGCAGCCCTGCCCAGATGCCATTCCTGCCCCCACAAGTGAGACCCAGAAGCAGGTAACGAAGGGCCACAGCCTACTGCATGTCCCTGGGGACAGCAGGGCCATTGGCCCCACAGGTGTGGAAGCCCCACGGATGTCACCACACCTCAGCTGAGGACATCTCGTGACACGCACAGAGCCCTGCCTTCAGCCTCCAAGGAAAAAGCCCCCGAAGCCTTCCAGGTTGATGGATCCCACACTCCTGTCACCCGGAGTCACACGAAGACCACACAGGGAGAAGCTGACCTGACCCCACACACGCTCACACACATCCACGTGTCAGGGAAGAAAGAGAATCCCCCTCCGCCCTTTCCCTTAAGGTTCTTGTGGCTGGCCAAATAATTAAAAGACAGGTTACCAGGAGAAAATAAAACAAGGTTTAATAACATGTATACATGGGAGAAACCAGGGAAACTGAGTTTCTTTCTTTTTTTTAAATTTTTATGAGGAAGATCAGCCCTGGGCTAACATCCGTGCACATCTTCCTCCACTTTTATATGGGACGCCACCACAGCATGGCCTGATGAGCGGTGCGTTGGTGTGCCCCCGGGATCTGAACCTGGGCTGCCAGCAGCGGAGCGCACCTACCGCGCACTTAACCGGTACGCCACGGCAGCCCCAGAAACTGAGTTTCTCAACAAATGGTGGAGGTTTTTCACCTTAAATATATTTACATAAAGGCAAAGGAGGATGTTGGGGGTGGGGAGGGAGACAGAAATCAGTAACCAAGAGTATGTAGATTTAAGTCCTTTCATTCCGAACTGATAACAGTTTCTAGAGATAAGGTCATCCCCCCTTTTCCCAGCACAGAAGGAAGATACCTTTACAAATGGAGATTTCCCTTTTAAATGTAAATGTTTTGGTAAACAGAACTTTGAAAAGAATGGCCTTAGCAAGATCCCTCCCAGTCTGTCACTTTTAGGCATAAATTTGGGGGAAGGTTACAGTTTCTTTCAGAGAAAATAATCAAGGTAAAGAGATATTTTGAGGTAGCCAAATTTTGATCTCCCACACATGCAGAGTCACGCAGGCTCACTCACACACCCAGGCACGCTCACATGGTACCGAATGTACCCCTAGACCTTGCCCATGTGACTGGTCCCCTGCTACAGGGTCCCTCTCCCCACCCAGCTCCATCCCGGCCACCCTGCCATCCTGCCTTAGCCCCCTTCTCCTTGTCTCCCCTCCCCCCGTGTCTAGTTAAGAAGCCCCTTCCCCTGGGGCCTCCCCCACCATCACTGCAGCCCAAGGCTGAGAGAAAAGAACAGAGGCAACAGCTCACAACAGTGTTGACGCAAAATGACCAATGACCATTCTATAGATAGGCAAAATAAAGTGAGTTTACTTGAGCCAGAGTGAGGATTATAACCCGGGAAGGCCTTAGAAAGCATTCCGGAGCATGGTTTTCAGTACAGTCTTACATCTTTTTACAACAAAGAACATACATTAAACACACCCAGGATACATTTTTGTCAAAATTTCAGAGGTATTCAGTTGCAAATCAGCAGGTCAATGTGACGGTAACGTCAGGAAAGGGACTAATCTGGGCATTACCAATAGGGCATTACCAATAGGGTGTAGGAGGGGAAGTGTGCATTCTTACCTTAAAAGAGTGCATTCTTTTCTTTAATGGTTACGCAGATGTACAATGTACGTTTGATAGGCTATAAGTCAGGCTTTTCAGTTCAAACCAATCAGTTTTGAACCCTTATAGTTACCCCATATAGCTCAGGAAGTGAAAATCTCTTGTCAACAGGAACTGCGCTTTAGAAGTGTGAAGTGTGACTGTCTGGGACAAGCAGGTGGCGGAGACTCAGCAACCCCAAGGGAGGGCTCTGCAGGAAGAGGATGGAACCGCCCACGGAGACGGAGGCGGAGGCCCGGGAGAGGAAGACCCTCTGCCCAGCAGCCCTGGCCCACCTGGCACCTCCACCTCCCCGCAGGCTGCGCACTGATCTCCTTCCCCACTGCGAGAAGCAGAAGCAGGGTGTGGTGCTGCAGGCTGCACGCAGCAGGTGCGCTGCTAATATTCGTTGAAGGGAAAGGCACGTAATGGGGGATAGAACACACGAAAGAGCCTGATGTCAGGCTAAGGATGCCCGACTCTGTTCTAACGGGGCCTCCAGGTTCTGCGCTGGGAGGGTCAGGTCAGGCTGGCTTTGCAAGAGGAACCCTGGCCTCAGACTGGGCAGGGGGCTGGGGCACACACAGGAGGCTCTTGAGTCCACCCTGGGCTGAGGGTCTTGGCCCAGGTCGGGGGAGGCACATAGGAGGCAGCGCTGCCCTCAGACTGCCAGACCTCCCGCTGGGGATCACTGTGGCCCAAACCGCTGCCTCGGAAGCCCCAGAAACCAGAGTCCCCCTCCTCCAGTTGGTCCCCTAAGTTGGTCCTGTCGCCACCCGCTCCCCCACCCATGGGAGAGCTCACACCTCAGCCGGGAGCCGACGGCCTCAGAGAGCCCGGGCTGAGGGTCCCTGCCTCCTCACCGCCCGCAGCCGGTCCGCCGTCGGGAACGCCCACCCCACCTGCAGAAGGGATTCCAACATTGCTCCATCTGCCTCCGCGGACGCATTCCCTCCCCGCTGCTCAGCCCCAAACGCAGCTGGCACCTATGGGCCTCGGACCACGCGGGAGCCCTACCCCCACACACCTGCCCAGCCTCGCCAGGCGCCGCGACGTCACCGCCCGCGGGGGTCGAGGAGGACCGGCTAGCCGGAGGAGGAGGAAGAGGGGAGGAGGGGAGGAGGGGAAAAGGGAGGAGGAGGAGGATCGGGGATCCGTGCGCCGGAGGAGAGGGCCCGCGGGGCCTGCATCTTCGGGTCGGCAGGGTGGGCAGGGCCGGGATGGGCGGCGGGATGAAGAGCCTGGCGCCGGCAGGCCCCGCCCCCGAGCGCGCTCCCGACTCCGCCCCCGGGCTCGCCCCACCCCGGCTCCGCCCCATGATACGCCCCCGCCCGCCCAGCCATCTGCGCTCGGTCGGCAGGCCTGGAAGCGTGGGGCTGCCGCGGGCTCCGGCGGGTCGGCGAGGCCGTGGACCTGCGTCCCCCTGGCGGTGAGTGGCGGGGGGACGGCGGAAGGCGCCCCGCAGGGCGAGGTAGGGAGCGAGCGAGGGGGCGCCGGGGGAGGCAAGGAGAGGTCTAGGGGAGGCTGGGAGTCGGGGGTTGCGGTGGGCCGGGCCCCAGAAGGCTGAGCCTCCAGCCCCAGCCCCCAGCCTCCCAGCCCTTCCGAATATTTCCGAAGATCTGGGGCGGGAGCGGGCGGAGACCGCCGCCAGACGCCTTCCCTGGCCGGGTGGCCCAGGGCTGCGCAGACACTGGGGGCCCATCACCCAACCCTGGGTTCCCCGTGACCCTCACGTGGAGACTGGGGAGGGGCAGCCTTCCTGACTTGAGGAGGGGCTGCGATCTCGGCGGGCCGGCAGGAAGGGGAGCGCTAACTCCCCTGGTGGATCCCCCTGGGGACAGGGGCCCTCAGGAGAGAGGTGAAAGCTCCCTGTTTGGCATAGATTATGCAAGCATATGAGGTGCTGAGGAGCCCAGGTCCCCTGCGGTGGGCCACCTGGTCCCTTCCCAGCCCGGGGGGGGGACAGGAGAGGCTCCTACCTCTTGCTGGCCTGGGGTCACCGGGTGCCGGCTTTCCCGGAAATCAGCCACCTGAGCCTGGGGGAGGAGTGCGCAGTCTGGGTCCCGGATGGCGCTGCCCCTGCAGCCCACTGGCTCCCATCAGGGCTCCCTCTGCCTATCCGGGAAGCATCAAGTCCCCTCGACCCTAGTAATGTCCGTCCACTCTGGCCAGTGCCTCAGCTCAGCCAACAGGGCCTGCTTGGTTGGGTGCCTGGCAGTGGGCAGTGAAGACACTGGCTGTGCCTGTGGCCATGCATGCCAGGGCTTGCTTGAGGACAGCTCAGGGCTCCTCCACGCAAAACCTCACTTTACAGAGGAGGAAATGGAGGCTCCTTCTTCCCCGACGGCCTGGATACGGGGAACAGGCCCCAACCGGGCTTAGCACTGTTCTTGAGCATCTGCGGCTCCTGCTCCCCACCAGAGACCTCAGTGCAGGCCCGGGGCTGGGCCCGAGAGGTCTGCAGCCAGCCCCTCCCAAAGTCTCTTCTCTCTCTGGCCTTCTCCTTCCTCCCAGGCCTGGAGTGCCCCTGCCCCCCCCCATGGTGTCCCCAGCAGAAGGCAGTGGACTCCTCCTCCCACACCGGGCCTCCTACCAAACCAGAACCAGAACCCCAGCTGGCCCCATTCCAAGTGCTTTCTCCACCCACTGCCATAGGCCTCTGCCCAAGGAAGGGTCCTGGTGCAGGGCACGGAGCAGCCCTGTCGACTCACACCCACCCAGCTGGGGCTCACCTGTGTCCGTTACCGCTGGTGTGACTAGGTGTACCCCACTTCGTCTCATTGAGCCTGTTTCCCAGCCACAAAATGGGGGACTAGCAGATACTTATGGGGTCCTTGTCTTCAATGTTAAAAAACACACAGAATGGGAAGCACCCGTCACCCTCCCAGCACAGATGCTGCCAAGGCTAGTGCTCAGCCAGATGTGCTTCATGCCCCCAGCCCAGCCTGGGTCCCCATGCCAGGCACCGAGCTGGCACATGGAAAGTTCTGGATGCAGGTTAGCTAATATTATCCCCCCACCCCCAGGACCACGGGAAGGGGCCACTTCCTCAGCCTCACACCTCCTTTCTCTGTGATTGTCAGAACGATAATGAGTTCCCTCCTCTGGCCTCTAGTGTCCTCTCTGGCCTCTAGTGCCCTCTTCCCACAGCAGCAAGCGCCACAGGCCTGGGAGGGGTCTCCACTGAAGGAGTCTGCGCTGAGTGCGGGCAGGTTAGGAATGGGCCAGAAAGATCCTCTGTGTTCTCGCCCAGCTGCTGGAAGCTGGCAAGTCCCGGCCCCAGGGCCTGGCACTGCGTGTGGGTGGGCAGCCCGGCGGCCCTCCAACCAGCTGTCTCGCTGCAGAGCAGACCCGGCTTCTTTGGCTCTGAGACCCCAGACGGGACGCCTGCCCTCCAGGATGAAGGTCTTCCTGCTGGTGCTGCTGGTCGCCCTCCTGGGTGTGGAGCCAGGTGAGAGCCCTTGGGCCCCAGGCCTTTGGGAGGCCCGGCCCTCCTCTCCTCCCTCTCCTCCCCCGGGATCCTTCAGGCCAGTTCCCATGTGACCTACTCTGTGCAACCTAATAGGCCTCTCTCCCCCAGCCAACGATCGCTCCTCCCTCCTGCTCCCACTGGAAGCCTCAGCCCTGCGACACACTGTTGTCGCCATGCATTTGAATGTCACTGGAGCCCTGGTGTCATTATCTTTTCGTGGGGCCTCGCTTACAATAGTTGCTCAATAAATGTCTGGGAGTATGCAGGGGTGAGAGATGCTGGAAGGCATGGCGGGGGTGAGAGATGCTGGAGGGCATCCCTGTGGGTGAGACGGTGTCACCAGCATGTCCCCTCCTTCTGCAGCCCACTCCCTGATGTGCTTCTCATGCATCAATCAGAACAGCAATTGGTACTGCCTGAAGCCGACCATCTGCTCCGACTCGGACAACTACTGCGTGACCATGGCGGCCGCAGCGGGCATCGGTGAGTGCGGGCGCCTGGCGGCCCAGCTTCCCCCTGCCCCTGCCCGGCTGTCTGCCTTTCTGCTCACAACCTCGTTTTCCTGCGCAGGCAACGTGGTGGATCTTGGCTACTCCCTGAACAAGGGCTGCTCCCCGATCTGCCCTGGGCCCCCAAGTGTCAATCTCGGCGTGGCGTCCGTGGGCGTCCACTGCTGCCAGAGCTTCCTGTGCAACATCAGCGCGGCCGGTGGGCTGCGGGCCAGCGCCACCGTGCTGGGCCTCGGGCTCCTGCTCAGCCTGCTGTCGGCTCTGCTGCGGCTTGGCCCCTGACCGCTGGGACCCTGTGCCCAGCCCGGACTCCTGAAGCTCAGGAAGCAGAGCCCAGCCTTTCTCAGACCCCAAAAGGATATCAGAGCCTCCTCCTCCAACTCCTCACCCTGCCTGACCCCTCCCCCTCTGCCCTCAGTCCCCACAGTCACGCCTGCCCCCGCATCTATACCTGCCAGCTGCCCTCACTTCCGGGCAATGATGTCACCTTCCTTGGGAAACCTGGGAAGAGATGAAGGTCCCCCTGGAGCCTGAGGGTCCCGGAGTCGGAACTGAGTCCCAGGGACACTGGGAGGGGCACCTAAGCCCCAGGCCCCTTCCTGTCCGCCCCAGACGGTGCGGATGATGTGCTTCGTGCTGCTGCCTCTCAGAAGAGGGAGCGTGCTGTGGTCGTGGGTGAGCGGGCACGCTCAGCTGTGTGGACAGGTGTGTGTGTGTGGCCGTGTCGGGTCATGTTTCGGGGAGGTGGGGGAAGTGTCAGGAGTCCAGCTGTAGCAGCTGGGAGAGCTCCAACACCAGACCCCCTTTTCTCTGGCATTTCCGTCCCCCACATTTCACTCACTTCAAGGGCAGTCTTGTGGGGAACGGGTTCCACTGCTTCCAGGTCTAGGCTGCTGGACCCAGGAATCGGCTCCCACTCCCAGATCCCGCTGTGGCCCCCGCACCCTCTGCTCCCACAGTGGAGCCCTCCTGCTGCTTTGGTGCCTCAAATAAACACAGATGTTCCTGCTCTGGCTGTGACTGTGTGGCCCACCCGCCTGGGAGCCCCCTTCCCAGCAGGGCCCTGCTATGTGGTAGGCCACGGCAGGGATCCGGAGCCCCCAGTGTGGAGGGGTCGGGGATCCCCATGGCAGCGCCCCACACTGAGGCCCACTTGGGCAGTTGGGGAGAGGGGTTCCCTAAGTCCACAGCCTAGAAGGGAACTTCCACCTCATGTTCTGCACTTTCTCCTGCCCCTGGCCTGGCGGGGCCATGTGGGAAGTTCATCCTCAGGACAGGACTGGCCTGGGAGGTTGGGAAGCCGGGAAGGAGGTCCGCCTGCATCTGGAAGGCAGGACCCTAGGAGGGAGGAATGGGCTTCGGCAGGGGCATGCACGTGGGACAGGCACCACTCCAGGGCTCTGGGACTCGGGGAGCGGGATGCCTGGGCCCGGCGGGCTGAGGAGGGCACAAAGCCTGGCCACGGCAGGAGCTCAGCGAGTGGGTGAGCAAGACATGCGTCCCAGGGGCCTATGGGAGGAGTTGGGGGGGGGATGCCCTGGAGAAGGTCTCAGACCCTGGCCGGAGAGCAGGGGTGCCTCTCCCCAGCCATCCCTGTTCGTGCTCATTTCCCCTTTGCAAGCTCATTGTGGTTTGTGCAAGGACCAAGGAAGGCGGGGCCCTGCAGTCAGTGAAGTGTCACTTGGCAGCCAAGGGGCTTCTCTGATTGGGCTGGTGGGCAGAAAACAAGGGGTAGTGAACGACTGAAGCAAGGCGCTCCATGGAGATGGATCGATTCCTCAGGACTCTGCCAGGCCTCCCAGATGGCAGGAAGGAATGTGGCAGGTCTGGGTCCCTTCGCCTCCCCACCCGGGTTGTCCCAGGCTAGCCAGAAGCCCTGACGTGCCTGTGTCCAGGGTCCGAGGAACACTGTCCCGTGGGGTGGGATGGTAGTCACAGTGGGGGCTCAAGATTCTGGCCCATCTCCTGTGGTCCCTGAGATCAGGGCAGGCACTGTCAAGCGCACGAAGGCAGTGTCCTCATCGCCACCAAACTGGGACAGCCAGCCATGCACGTGGCCGAGCACCAAGGCCATGATGGAGCCCGCGGGAGGGAGGGCCCCCAGACAAGCCGGGCAGGAGGAGGGGTCCACTCCGGGAAATCAGGGTGACCCGGTGGGGCAGGGACAACGACAATGGGAAGGAGACGCAGGCACAGCCAACACCTTGTGGAAGGATCCGGAAGCACATCAGAGCAGCCTGGTGGGGACTCAGTGGGAAGTGAAATTGTGATTCACTTGAGCGCATCAGACCAGCATTAAAACAAAAGCAAGGAAAAGAATTCAAGGGGATGAAATCTGAACGTGCCCCAGGAACGCTGGTAACTGTGGGCCCGGATGATGCTTCTCTGAGGAGTTCTCGTCCCCACGTAAAACATTCGCTGCATTCCGCACTCAAAATAAATCACAAGCGACTTTGCTAAAGGGACTGAGACCCGTGAATCAAGGCGGCAGGGTCAGGCGAGGGGACGCTGCGCATTGCATGCTCCTTCTGCTGAAACTAACCCAGGCCTCCACCTCTGGGCACCTGCTATTTTCAGGTGACATTAGTCTGATTTGTTATTCCTCTTCCTGCAACCTCACTGAGAGATGGGTATGGTTATGCCCACTTGTCAGAAGTGGAAACAGGCTCGGAGAGTTGCAGCCACTTGCCCCACTGAGTCTGTGACCCTCAGGCCCAGCATTCCCTCTACTTTGGGTTGGAGGACAAAGTCCCCTTAGGGCTGGGGTCAGAGGCAGCCTTGACCTCCTGGGGGCGTTCCTTGTGCTTTGAATTGGAGGGCAAAGTCCCCTCAGGCAGGCATGAGCTCCTGGGGGTGGCTGGTGGTCCAGCCTGGTTCCTGCTGCCCCTCCCTGGGGAGGTGGCAGGCTGGGAGGAGCAGGCTGTGCTAGAACAGAAGGAGGTGGGGGCGGGGGGGGGAGGAGCCTAGAGCTCTGAGTTTCCATTTCCTGCAGCCTAGGGGAGGCCAGGGAGGGAGGGGAGGGGTGCGGGATACAGGAAGAGAGAGAGGAGGGGCAAAATAAAGGAAAGCACTTCTGGTGGTCTGTGCCTGGCATCTGCCCTGGCTGCAGTGAGGTGCCAGGTGCTCTGCTGGCTGGCCCGGGCACACTCTGGCCAGGAGTCGTCGGACTCCCCAGTCTCAGCATCCAGGTGCTGGGTGAAGCCCCCATGTCTCTAGCCAAATTCAGCTCCATCATGTCTGCCCCTGCTCCCTCGCCTACGGCTCCCAGGCTGTTCCATCTCCCTTCTGAACCCGCTGGCCCCGGGGGCTGATGCCTGTGTGCACTAACCATCTGCCCTCGTCCCTGTAACCAGCAGGCGGGGGGAGTGGAGCGTTCACAGCAGCCAGAGCGGTTGGGCCGCGGGCTGCGCACACCCCTCACGGAGCTCCTCTTCCAGGCACAGCACTTGCAGATTTCCAGTCCTCAACTCAGGCCGTGCACCTGCTTCTTCAGGAGACTCCTGTGGAACTGCACCAGGGCCCTTCCTTGTGATAAACAGAAAAAGCCACCCCTTCTCACATAGCTGACCTTTTTGAGGGGACACCAATGCTGAGGGCTCCCCTGAGCCACTCTGACCCACCCCTCGGACCCCTCCTCTTCCCCCTCCCCCAGCCTCAGGACCCCTCTTCCAGGGAACCCGAGAAGCCACTGGGGACACTGAGGCAGCCAAGAAGAGCAGGCACCTGCCAGAGCCCAACTGCGCCTGGGATCGGCCAGGCGGGTCCCAGAGCTCTGCCCAGGCCCAGCTTTCACACCAGGCCAGGGGTGCTCGCGGCAGAGCGCCCAGACCCCACCTGCGGGAGTGCCGCCAGCCCCCCGTGTGCCCCTCCACGCTCCGGGTCCCACACTGACAGTCCCAGTGACCATGGGAGGGACAGTGTGCACTGGCCCGGGTCCAGGACTTGGGACACTGGTAGCCCTCCGGGCCTGGGCTGGGGGTGGGCACCCTTCAGAGGCTGGAAGGGTGAGCTCCAATCGCTCCACCTGCACTGGCTCCCTCTTCATATTAAGGCCTAGACGGCAGGGGTGGGGAGGGGCCCTTGGCCACCTCTGCCCAGAGGGATTGGCAGGGTCCCACTGGGATCAGAACAGGTAGGTATCCTGAGGGTCTCCACCACACTCCTTCACGTCCCCACCCCATATCTCACTGGGATCCCCACCTCGCCAGCAACACTTATCCCTAGACCTTAGTGGCCCAGGATCCAGGGCCAGTGAGGGTCGGGGAGCCTGGGGTCTCCGGGCCTGGGGAGAGGCCAGAGTCAAACCCTGGCAGGGGTAGGGGCTGAATCTCTCCCTATTAATTTACAGCCCTTCCCCCAGGATTGCCAAGAGCCTAGCTCCCGCCCACTGGAGACGGAGGGCTTTCAAGCTTGCCGCCCCTGCACTTCCATCAGGTGCTGGGTGGGACCCTGTCTCAGTATCCTCCCTGTGCCTCTAAGGGCAGAGACCCCACACATACCTGGGCTCCCCACCCTGCCCTTCCTGTGCACCCCTTCCCCCAGGGCTCAGCCCAGGCGCCCAGCCCAGGCCCCCGGCCAGCTCCCCCAGGCTGGGCCTGCCCCCAGCTCTCAGAAGGCAGCCTCGTGCTCCCTTGAGTGGGGTCCTGAGTCTCAGATTCGAGTACCCAGTGGTCCATTTATTTATTTATTTTTGAGGAAGATCAGCCCAGAGCTAACATCTGCCAATCCTCCTCTT